CTGCTCCGCTGGAATGCAAATTTTTTTTTTTCCCCGTAGGCTCAGGCTAGGCTTATCACTGGAGTGGCTCTTAGGGTGTAAATTAATGAAATTAAAACCTCGTACCCCATATTTAAAATCACCCCAAAACGTGAGAGAGTGAAATGATATTATAGCCCTTTTAACTACGAACAAACGAATCAAAAGGGATTTTCTTTTCAATGACAAAAATCTCATCATTTGACTTCGGACCAATATTAAACAAGGACAAAAATGGGGATAAATTACATGGACCCATCAGTGTTATTTGACCTTAAAATAACTGAAAAGTTACGAACTGAGTCAAGTGAGCTCTCCTCCTAAGCATGGCATGTTTAGTAGAGGAAGACTGTAAATTAGATTACTATCATTTGTCCCAAAAAAAGAAATTGTCTTTTTGTGTTGTCGTCAAAGTGAGAGGGATTTTTCTCTCAAACATTGGTGCCAGTGAATTTCAAACCTAAGATTACTAATTTGCAAATCAAGACTATTTTACTAAAACACTGTTATTAATTTCGAATATGAGATCACTAATCTGCAAGTCAAGACCATTTTATACTCTGCAAGTCAAGACCATTTTACACTAAACTAAACTCCGTTGGCAAAAATTGCCTTCATTTTGAGGCTTCCGACAAATAGCCCAAAAATCACATGCCAAGAGGCCCAAAAATATATAGTTTAGCCCAGTCAGCTAGCTTGACCAATCTACACATTTGCATAATTCTTCCTCACAAATTTGTATTTGTTATAAAATATAAATGTTATGAAAACGCAAATCGAAAAGAAATGCAACACAATTTTTTTTTATTCATCTCTCATATTTAAGCATTAGATTTCATTCACATGGAAACATCAACATCCATCTCAACATGAACAAATACATACATACACACACACATTATATATAAATATATAGAGCCTCAAAAGATCGATCAGATTCCCATCATTGTACGTTCACCTCCTTCACATCCTTCTTTGGCTTCTCAGTTCTAGGAATGGTGATGGTCAGAACCCCATCCTTCAGCTCTGCCTTTATATCATCAACTTTGGCATCATCAGGCAGCTGGAGGGTGGTGTCATAGTAGCCATATCTCCAACCCTCCGATCCTTCTTCCTCCTCTTCTTTGTACTCTCCTTTGATTTCCAAAAACCCATCATGAACAATGATCTTCACATCCTCCTTCGCAAGCCCTGGCACATCATACTGCAGTTTGTAGCTGTCACTTTTCTCTTTGACACGCCCGGTGAGTGACCATGGTGATATGTTGAGGTTGTCAAGCAGCCTGTTTATGTTCTCTGTTGCTTGCACCAGTGCATTTCCAAGGCCCGAGGGAAAGAATTCTAAGAAGAAAAGAATATGTTAGCAAATTAATTCTCACTTTGAGCTTTGCTTGTTCAATAGTTTTAGTTAGAGTCACATTTGGGTCAAACTGAAAGTCGTGTCAAACTGTCAATCTGAATCACAGGTTTAAGAGTGCAAATAATCGATGATTCAGATTTATAGTCTGAAAACATAATATACTATAATTAAATTGTACACTTGAACCTAATTAAATCATTAGGTTTAAACATGATTAAAGTCTAAAATGATCAAGGATCTAGATTATAAGGGAGTGAAAAAGTACCATAAAGAGCAGGAACGAAGTTTCTGTCACTGTCCCTCCAAAGTCCCCTCCTACGTTGCCTTCTAGGGAACAACCTAGACCTTTTACCTTGAGAAACAGCAACATCTTTGTTCTCTGATTTCTCACCAGACACCTTCTCATTAGCTTCTGTACTAAATCTCTTCACAATCTCATTGCCACCTCTGCCTCTGCTCTCACCAGCAGTCCTCTCATTAACACCATGCCCCAGCACAGAAGCAGCAGAAAAAGAAGCTGGAGAAAGCACCCTCTGGTGCAAGTTTTTCAAAGCCAAACGCGCCAAAGCCATTTCACAAACTTGGTTTTTGAGTCTGAAGAATTAGGGTTGGGGTTTTTTGTTGTACGGCTGGTTTGGTTAGATGATGTTGATGGAGAAAGGGTGGGCGGTGGCAGTGAATTTAGAGAGGGTTGTGGGTGCTTTTAGTTTAGGACAATTGTAGAAGGGTCTGAGAAGTTCTGGTAGTGTCCTAGGTACAAGAGGACACGTCAGCAACTGAAGGTTGGTGATGTTCTTGATTCTTCTCAAACGTGCCAATGGATCAGATCAACTATGACCCACGAGGAATTTGTAGATTTTTCTCGAGGGAAATGCATCTGATGCCACGTCTTTTCACGTTGTTTACTTGGTTTCTTTTGACTTACTTCATGTTTACAGATTATGTGGCATTTTTATTTATTTTTAATACAAAGTAATAATTTAAATTAACAAAGATTTTCTCACACAAACTACAAAGATATCAACACAAAAATGTATTAGCACAAAAGAATCATAAAAATTCGAACCTAAAAACACATATCTGCAAGTCAAACGTCTTTTTGAAAAGACCTCGTTAGCGATTATGTGGCATTTTTTTTGTTTTCCACCAAATTGTGTAGCTTTCCAGTCATCCATTAGAAAATTAGGAAAAAGTTACCAAATGTAGAAAGTTAAGAAATTTAGAAGGGTAGATGTGGATGCTGCTTTTCACAAAAATCTCACTCAATGGAGACAAGACAACCATGTGAAACCACACATGTTTGCATACACAAAAGAAGATTTTCTTTTGGTTCATTAGTACAAAGGCTCATGATATTTTACGCCGGCATGCATGTTGTAAATCCTTATATTCATCTGTTTCTAAATATAGTTCATTTTAGGTAAGGGAACCTATTTTTACCGTAAAGCTCATGTTCACCGCACAAACTCAAAAGACAAAGCACAAATTGCGGCATGTCAAATTATCACTGTGATGAAATTTTGCAAATGGAAGTTGAGAATTTTGCAAAACCGCCCAACATGAATGGTGGCAGAAACCAATCCTATAAAACAGTTTGAATGCAGTACAAGGGCGCATCTAAAAGGCCCTGGGAGTTAAAATCCAAGGAGAAGCAAGCAAAAAATGATGTTATAGTCAATGTACACGCCATGCTATCGCTTCCTAGTTGCTAGGAGGCAGTAAAAATGTCACAAATACTTGGATCAACTTCCGTAACTAGCCAACTTAAAAATCTCTAGTACCTCGGCTGCTCAATCGTACAACCCCTCTTGCTCCCAAACGTCGACAAGAAAATC